CATATAGACGGTAGGACAGGCGTGATGACCGATAGCAAAGCCATTGGAAATCGCTCTGGCCACTAGAAATGGATGATCATCACCTCTTTTGAAGAGATTTGTTAGCTGTTTTCACTAGCATTGTAGTATACATTACATTATACTATAATCTATTTAACATATGTTTTGAAATCTAGTTTACCCTGTAATTCGAGACTCCCTCTACTTCAGGACCACTGCGGGGGGGGGGGGGGTAGCAGACACTTTGTTGTCATCTGGCAGTTGAACTTGTAAGAGTAAATCTGGTTGTGGAATTATGGAATTGGTCATGAGCTAAAGATAAAATGAAAAGCAAGTTTGTGACGAAATATGATGCCATATGCTATGATATGATGACCTGTTCTATGGTTACAGTAGGCCTAAGTTATCAATTGAATTGACAACACAGAAAGCTGTTTAGATAAGACCTGTCCTAGAAAGTTCACTAAAAAGCCACAAAAACCTGGTATGTACTTGTACCAGTTATTATAGTGAATTGCCAAGTTACACAGAGAAAGCATGGAACATGTTAAGCAGTACACACATTCTCCCGCCGGGAGCCTGTGTTTTACATAGGTAATAATAATATAGTCTGATAAAGCGCACATTTTGAATCTGATTTTGGGATTAAATCATAAAGCTTGACAAACATACTACTACTCATATTGAATATTCTTCACCCTCTAGCACCTTCCAGACATAATTCTGTACAAAAATGCTACATTACAACTATTTGGTCTACATTATAATTAAATGAATATGATGCCATTTAGAATGAAATAAATAATTGACATCAAACACTGAATGAAAAATAATATTAAATTGCATTCATATTGTATTGAATAGTCTTTAAAGCCGGACATTCGCTGCACCTAATTGTCGTTGGCCGACGCAAATCTATGGAGAATGCAGCAACACAATGCCCCCGCAGTGGATTGTTTTTAATGACGATCCTTTCAGACTGCTACTAACAATCAGCAGAAAACATCAGTGTTGCACCGTTAGTGCTCACGGAGAGAGCAGAGTTAGTTTTTTTTTCTGCCAGCAGTCGTACGATGCAGTGAATACCTGGCTTAATACCCCATACAGTAGTTTCAAAATGTCAAATTTGAGTTACTTTTGATTATTAAGGCTCACAAAAAAATAATAGAATGCATTTAATAGCTTCATTTATACCAAATATGTTGACATGTACAACAACCACACCCCTTGGTGTCATGGGTCATTGATTATCCATTGCCATGTATAACAATGAAGACGACAACACCTGAGCAAAGATTTTTTTAATGCAAAGTTGATAATACTTCCAAATCTACAAATTGAGCAATATTAATAGTTTTGTTTACATTTTTTTAAGGATTTGTAGTTTCCATCTTTAGATAGCATAAATAAATATTTTAAGAGCATTTTCATGTGTGATATAAAGAGAGTATTTAAAAAATATTAAATACTTGCTATTCTTGGGGGCTTAATTTATTTCTTTTTAGAATAAGCTTATACATATCTCATATGATTTCATCAAAACAGAAGCTGTCTATTGAAATACATTTGAAATTAAGAAAAATACAAATTACAGTATAAGCAATAGCTACACATGCCCTTTGGCAGAGCTATATTTGTGTGTGGATTTAAAGCACACAGCTGATGGCTTTCACATAAGCTGAGCCTATTCAGAAGCTGCACATTAATTTACATGAATGCATAGTACATGCGTGCTATTTCTGTCGGTGTCAGGTACAAACTGGTAAAGACGCAATGCCAGCCAAGTGAATTACAATTTAGTTTGTTCACTCGTTAAGATCTGCCGATTGCTGTCTAAATATACAACTGACTACTCTCAACTCCTTCCGATTAGACTCGGCAGGATGTGTTGCCATGACAACTTAATCAGATACGGCGGCAAGAAGCCCTTGATGGCGAGATGTTAATGACTTGTGTAGAAGCGCCGGCTCGTTACAGTGCAGACTCAGCCTGGCTATCTAGGCCAGAATTACCGTAGATTTATGCGGCAGAAATCATATACTGTATTTCATTTATTTTTGTTTTATTAGAATAGAAAGGAACGTGGTTGATTTATTCCAGTCAGCGAAGCTGATTATTTGAGATCGTTGAAGCTCTATAACCGAGTCTTTATGAGGCGTGGGAATGGTGGCAATGCCAACAGAGAAAGGAGTCGAAGCCCCAATGTACAGGCCAAGTTCCCCTTGTCCATGAATTGTCAGACCAAAAATGGGAATAAGTTCCTGGACATATAAAAAAGTTTCAAATCCCTGTTGGTACAGTTACACACCACAAAACCACCCCACCTCCTTCCTTGAATGTGTACCCTAGGGCCACCACTGCTTGGGAACTCAATTTGTTTTTGGTTGTTACCAAATGTCTGTTATTTCTATGCTTTTCAGGAAAAAAAAAACCCCAGAAAATATAAATAATAATAATATCACAAATTTATATGGAGCCAATTCCAAACAAGATCAAAGGTGCAACACATGTGAAAAGCCACCGGGAAAACAAATAGGTCTTAAGCTGTGACTTAAAGTTGCAAATGAAGTTGGAAGAAATTATGTAATTTGGAAGTTGGTTCCAGAAATAGGCAGAAGCAAAAGTAAAAGAACATTGACCGTAGATATAGATAAATTAGTAACTAGTAATGGGGAAAAGAAAGAAGGAATGGAAGGGTAAAACAAGAACACCAGCAAGCTTCTGTCTACCCCTGGAACAAGGAAACCCTTCTCACAGCCACCACTAAAACCAGCAACCAACGCTGTTGGGAGGAAATTAAAGCACCCCCTTGATATTTCAGTCACAATTACGCATTTGCTTTGACTTTAGAGCTGATAATTCGCATCAAAGTCATGAACTTTCTTGAATATGTGGGACATACTTCAAATTATTGTTTTATATTTTGCTCCATCTAATCTAAGAGTTAGTGACTCAATTGCTGTAGGATATGAATAGTCTAGGCCTATATGATGCTCTATGAAATGAGTCCCATGGGGTTTATGTGCCAGGGAGATTTTTTTCAGTGTTCATTATTTTCTATTACTGTACAGGAACCTCATTGAGTATCACACAAAGAGCTGGCCATATGGGTTGCAGGTTAACTTCTTAATGTTATTTTCTTAATCGTATGTTTCACAACTTTCCTTTAATAATTTTAACTTAACTGTTCCTGGGACTACTGCTCAATACTGTACGGTGACCATGCATTTTGTGGTGCAGCTCCCGGCAAGCCCTTACTGTAGCTCAAGCTACAAAAAAAATCTTAAAACACATTTATTTATTTCAAGTTGCTTGAATATATGAAAGAATTTTAATCTGTTGTTGTTGTTATTTATATTATTATTATTATTCAAAATAATAGGATGATTTTAATTGTTCTTTCTACAAAAAGATAAGCAGGCCATAGATGATGATGATAATAATAAGGATGATAATAATAATAATAATAATATTAATAATAATATAATCTTTCTTTTATAACAAATGCTTGTTCACCGAGGTGGTGTTCTTCCATGAGGTCGTATATATCTCTTACACGTCATTAAACAAACTTAACTATAAAATGTACGAACAACTAAACAAGAACTACTTACAAAAATACAAACTACAGTAAAAGCAAAATTGAAACACTGAAAACAAAAAATGTACCGTATTGCCAAATAAACTTTACTTAAAAATTATCAGTTTGTTTATGTAGCAAGAAAAATCAAGGAATTTGCATAATTTGATGTACATAATCTGAAGGCAGACGAAGCCACTGTGCCCACTACAATTTATATATACAACTTTGAGTTATTTCATGTTTTGTTTGAAAAAAACTAATGCAGCATCAATGATGAATTATTACGTTAGCATTTAACCGCATAATATTGCACCAAATTTTATGCCCGTAAAGCCAACAGAACATAACAACCACTCACCCGCGTAACAGAAACTACTCATAAACCGTAGATTGATTTTCCCGAGGTCAATACAAATGTCACGCTTTGAGGTGCACCACCTATAATGGCCGATTAATTACAAGACATCTTGAAATGTATTGGTTTATAACTGAAGAAATACCTAAAAATAAGTTAAATAATGGCCTTGTAGTTTTTTGTCTAGGATTATTATGCTTTTTTATTAGTTAAGTGCAAACTTAACAACATTACTTTCCCAATTTAAATTAATTGCTGTAATTAATTCATTGTTTTGTTTTAGTTTACCGGATGAGAATTTTTCAAGTCATTTATTTATATAAAAATAAACTAAATAACATAATTTTTAAACTATATATACTCTTATTAACAAGGTGTTTTACTGCTATCATGTAGGTATTTATTATACCCTTTATACTGAAATTTATTTTAATAGGAAAAATTAAATTATGGAAATATATTGCATATCATTCTTTAACTGCAGTAAAAATAAAATAAAACCTGTTATTAAAAAGTCATACAAAGGTCATGACCAGCTGCAACACTGTAACCTCAAGGTTATAAATTCCACGATTTCCCAGGTCTGCTTTAACAATTTATCGCCCAACAGGTGTGTCTAATGTTTTCTATTCATTGCAGGATGTAAAGAAATACAACATAATGTTCCATCAATTTTTTTTTTTTTTTTTACAGAACCGTCGAATAGAAGAACACCGGCGAGTACACCGCATGGCGAAAAATGCAATCAGAAATATGCAGACCTTGTAAACAATGCCATGTCACCGATGCAAGATTACCTTTCACTCACGTTTGCTGATGCTGATATGATGTCTTCGCCACCAACTGACCGTAAGAGCGATTCAGCGATTGCTGATTCATCAGACATTAGTTTAAGCTCAAAGGATAACCTTGAAACGAACGAGGAACAAGTCTCAGCGCGTGTTACTAGTACAACGACACTTGTGTTGACCGGCGGAGATGGTCATACGTACCTGCAACCAAATTCTTCCCAGAGCAGTGGAGAAGCTGGCCTTCTTATATGGCAGGTGTCCATGTAAACATGGAGAACACCTGTATAACATGGAGAACACCTGTATAACATGGAGAACACCTGGATAATCATACCTTGTTTGTCTTCCTTTAATTTCTTCATAAATTTGGAGTCATCCCGGTTGTTTATCATTCCTAGACTGATAAACATGGGGATGGATTTCTATGCAGTGTTTTGTGATATTATTTTTTATTCATAATTGCTTCACCACTGTACTTAACATGTACTTTTACTTCAATTTGCAATAGAATTTTTTTTTCTTTATTTTTTGCAAATATGTGTTATAATATTTTAGTCATTTAGACAGATGGTAGTCTTTTCATAGAGCTATTAAAACCCTGAAAATTAAAAAATCAAAAATGAAATATTAGGGTTTTTTTACTTACCATATTTATTATTTTAATGATACAAAATGTTTAAGAAAGTATTTCTATACTATGGAATGTCGAACGAGTTATCATTTGAATGATGACAAACATCTTAGAAGTTGATATTGTAGTCAGATGACAACAAATACCTAGGTAGTCCGCTGTGGAAGTTATTGTTATGACAGTTAAGCCAGCGCCTTATTCAAATCTACTTTTAAATCATTCCTCTTCAAATAGTTCAACTTCTTTCTAACATCCTCCAGCGCCGGTGACAAGCCAGTTTTGTTTGCTTTAATAGGCGCTTTAAAAATGTGTATTATTATTATTATTATTATTGAGATCATGCGACGAGGCACAGAACGATACTCTAAGATTGCCACTGACAATGTGCATCACCCATCGAAGCAAAAATGGTTTCATTAGTTAATGCACTGTCTGCTTGGCTTTATGATAGAACACAATACGACAAGGTGCAGAACCGCTAAGACTGCGACTAACAATGCGCGTCACGCATTAAAGCGGAATTGTGCAGACTGATCCACTGCCAATGCGCATCACATTTAAGCGGAAACGGTTCAGTTAGCCAACGCAGTGTCTGCTTCGCTTTCTAATATATATTTAGCATGATCGTGTATCAACACATTTTGGAGTTTTTATGAGTCATTGTTTTTATATCCTGTTTTTTCTTTTATTCTAAATTTTATTTATGATAAGTGTTTTTTCCTGTACACTACAGTATATAATAAATTATACTGTAGATATAGTTGATAATCCGATGTGAATAATCTTAGACTTGTAAATATAAGTAATTCTGATAATTAGTCTGAGAGAGACAAAATGACTTTTTAAGGATTTAAAAGTATTTTTGTGTGTAAGAAAATTTTAAATGTTAATAGAAATTATAATTTTAGTAATTTTTTCACTTTATATAATTTAATCTTTAATCAGAATCTTGATAAATGTAATTAACTCAAGTGGACCTGTTCAAAATCATCCACATTGCACTTTTTACCAAAATTACCTTTATTATTATATCTTTAAATGTTCAGCTTGTCCACATATTATAATATGAGACTATGTATTCCTTCACAGCCATTAAGAAAATAAAGTGTCCAGGCTGTTTAAATTTTGATCATGATTAGATGGATGAATTCTAATACAAATTGTCATTTCCTGCTTTTACTTTTTTGTGTTTATGAATACAATTGGAATTGTGTGTCAAGCATTAACACCTCTCACATCATCAGGCAGTTCTGAAAAGGTGCGAGCAACTGTTTTCCTAACCTCCCCTAACCCCCCCCCCCCCCCCCATTGTCCTTCGATAGTTTAGAAGGTGAAAATTATTATTAACTTATCTAATTCAGCATTCTAGTTTGAACAATCTTTACAGTTTCCTTCATTTTTTCCTGTTTCCTTAGTTATTTTTAAATAATTGATTGTTATGTTATTTAGATGTTTTTTAAAGAGATATAATGACAATTTATTTTTAAATCAATTTTATGAGATATTTCTTACAGATTTGTCCCTTTTGTGTGTGTTGTATTTTCCTTTTTGTACCATATTTTAATATTTTACCTTAATACTAATAATATATTCTTGACAACCCATTTTCTGTTCAAACAACTGTATCCCACCCAGTAATTTTGGTTCAGCTGTTTTTGATCTAGACAAGTAAAGATCTATAATAATTTGATTTGTATTTTGCTACTTTTTTTTTGTACATCCCAGTTTGTGTTCAAACTTTAACGTCATTATTGGATAGGCTTATCTTCATAATACTTCTACGAATGGATACCTTGTTTGAAGCAAGAAATCAAGTTGTCTTTACCCAAGTACCGCTCGTATATTTTATTTGTGTGGCAAATTTTTAACCTATGATTAGTTATGCTTCTGCTGATAGCTTTCGGTATTTTGACATATCTAAGATTAGTGTTTCGTGTTGAAAAAAAAAATCATTTAGCTTTTTCATGGATTGTCCCGACTTTGATAACTGTCGAAGGTTGTTATATTTTAGTTTCCGCAAGATTTTGAAGGAAGTTCACCGTCTACAACACTGACTTATAGTAATTACCTGCATTTGGATAAATCATCTATGACTAATTACTATATAAATAGTATATTTTTTAGCCTTGAAACATTGATAAAATGCATAGTAGCAACAGTAATATTACGGTAGCAGTACTGTAGTATAGAGTAAGCCTATCAGTCGTAGGTCTACGAACAGGAGTTTAAAGAAGTAGCGAGCGTAGCGTTGCAGTTGTTGTACTGAGCTTTTTTCGTATTCAGGTACCTTGCCATACTTATGGACCTTTTTTCTTAAAAGGTTTAGGAAATTTTTGCGGTAATGCACAAGCACACTTTCTGGACCATTTCTCATTTGTAATTGTCATAAATTTTGCCGCCAAAAAGTTGCATCTCTCATATCTAGGGAAGGTTACGGTACAGTGCATACGGAAATTTGAGTGAATTTGTCAGCTGCTTAGCTATAGCAGTGATAAAATGTAGCTAGGTGTAATTACACAAACTGGATGCTTATGAAAACATGAGCTGTAAGCAGATATATATGGCAGTAATATTTGTTGTACTTCTACAACCACCACCCTTATCAAGACTACTACCCGCACCTACTCAGAAGTGGAACCAGGATATTTCTTGCGGGGTGCGCAAAGTGTCGATTGAGAACCTTTGGTCCAGTACCTATGGTCCGAGGGAGGCAGGTGTAGGGTGTTCCTCTACCTATTTTGGAGGATATTATTCCCTGGATGCTTCATAGTTATATCCATCTTAAACTCTTACCTAAGTGATTTTTTTAATTTGGTTAGGCATTGTTTTTTTTGGCACTGTTAAAATATTACTATTACCACTTACTATTTGTTGTAGGCAATTTTGTGAGCAGTTTAAAGAAAAACAAGAAGTAAAGTAAAAAAAAAACAATACACAAACACTAATTTAGCTGAGAATTGACACAATTAATAAATATGATTTATGCAAATTATGCATCAAATTAACTATAAATAGCAAGCAGATCACACTATGAGTTGTCATCATTATCTCTTACTCATTTGGCTCAAGGATGTCTGAAGACTCTTATTGGCCGGATATGCTTAATTAAAGTCATAATAGTACTCCACATTGGCTGTTATTATTTTTAGATATTAGCAGATTAGTCATATCCATGATGGAATTAAGAAAGTACAAATTGTTTGGGTTGGTGTTAAGCTTGGCGCAGACTATCACATTTTCTTTGACAAAAAAAAAACTGGTGCATGCCCATTTTTAGTCACGGTGTGCCTATATATGGCCATGATGTGATGACATCATGACCTATTTGTCAAATATGTCATTTTTTTGTCAAATATAGTTTGATAGTCTGGACATCCTTTAAGGCCAACTCAGCGTCGTATGACGCAGCCGAAGGGATTTGTAGTCGCGTCGGGTCTGTGTGAGTTAAAACGCAGATACGATGGTGTGCGTCGGGGCAGTCACGTCGTAGATTAGTAAACATGTTTAATATTTCTCACGACGGCTTAAGACTGTCCCCGACGATAAATCGGGTTGGGCTGCGTCGCCGACGCTGTCTGAGTTGGCCTTTAGATTATAAATTGTGCATTGTGAATAATACAATAATGAGTGGTGTGGTATTTTTTTTTCACATATATAGTCATGATGTGTCTATATATGGTCATGATGTGATGTCATCATGACCATATTTGTCACATGTGTCACATGTTTTTGTTAAATGAAATTTGAGAGTTTGAACAGGGCTGATAAATTATGCATAGTGAATAATACAATAATGAGGGTGGTGTGTATTTGTTTTTCTTAAATAATATCAAACATTAAATTTTATGTAATGATTATTTAGATTTTGCTTTCTTCTCATAAGTCATTCTTTTAACATGCATAAGGATCTACAGAATATTTACTATTTTTAAAAAGCTTTGGGTCTATAGCCTTTTTCAGAAACTTATAAATTGATATCTCTTATATCCAATCATTACCCTGCCAATGTGCCGTATATTCTTGCATGTAAGACGACACTTAAAATAGCAAGTTATGATAGAAAAAAACATGGGGTCGGCATATATGCGCAACACATACAAAATTTTGATTTTTTAAATCATGTTCGTTGTATGTGCAAATCATTCGTAACACAAATTTCCTACTGAGATGAAGGTACTAACTGTTAGTATGATCTCCATGGTATTATGAATGAACACAATTTTAAATACAGGGAAATAAGATATTGATGCCCTTACAAGTTGCATTATTTGGAATAATTATTAGCAGAACGTTTGGCTCTGTTTTTAGCCAGCTAAATGCAGAATATCAAGACCATATAGAGCAGCAAAAAGTAGGAATTGCAACAGTGAAACAGGGGTTGTCCCATATATGCTACATACAAAAGTCGTCCAAAAATCTTCGGTACGTTTATATACAGTACATTTATCAAATTATCCCATAAATTAAGAGCTCACTATACTTCCTGACAGCGATCGAAACCAAAATGGCAGGGTCAGGGTTATGGAGTGAAATATCTGGTAGGGTTTATAAGACATATTTTATGGTTTATGATGGCCTAAAATTGAGCACAATATTATAGATTGGCAATCACAACGACATTGTTGTGGCGTTGGGCGATTGGTGGTCCATGCCTGTCTAGCATAGGCGCCGCCACTGCATAGATTATCAACATAGTTTTTGAAGCATTTAAATTTAGATTGTATCAGTTCTGTAGTACTGTATTCACTTTATTCTGTAATGTAATGCGACTGGATGGCTTACCATGCAGTTGACAAATATGCAAATCACTAATAAGCATATTTAATCAGTAATGTTTAGTGTTGTATTAATATCAATAAATATATGCAATGGTATTTTTAATTACTTATCTATTTAATTAATTAGTTGTATCAGTTAATATCTGGATAGATAGGACGTGGGACCTTTTTGGTTGATTTGAGCCTAAAATGTGTTTTAAAGTTGATCAAAACCTTGATAGAAGATTTTGTAGTTAATAAATCTGTATATACCAGTTGTATGTAGAAACTAAAATGTTGTACTGTACCATATATTATAGAGCTTCCAATGTATCCAACATACATTGTTGCAAATTTGTGTACTCATGTACAAACTGGGTGCAGAAGTTGAGGGCGCTGTTTATGTTGGTGCTTTTTTTGCTGATTTTAAAA